TTACTAGCATACCTCGGAAGACCGTTGATGTTGAACTAGCGTAGCTTGCATGACTTCTGTTAAACCCAAAGGGGTCTGGACCATAATCTAGAGGAGCTCACAAGGCCTTGTCTGCTAAACTAGCGTAGCTGGTAAGGCCTTTTTCTGTGAAGTTCATGAGGGGGGTCTGGGCCAGAACCAGAAGCACGAATGCTACCACTCGGTATAGCTCGCATCGTCTCCCCGCAACCGCTCCGGCGCAATCCAGTACACAGCTAACGATATACACGCGCAACACACATATACACATATATATACACACACTATTGGGACACTCATGGGACGCCTTGGGGCCGCCTTGGGTCTCTCTTGAGGGGGCTCTTGGGCGGGATTCGCCTTTGGGCGGCCCCTCGTCGCCGCGACTGGGTTCGCGTTGATCTCCTGGCCAGAACGCACCCCAGCTCGCCCCAAGGGCGCTGCCTTTTCCATTGGCTGCTGGCGCCCCTTGGCTTGACTGACAGGCAGCAGCCTTAGCTCGGCACGCGCCCAGCCTCGCCAGGCTGGCAGGCAGCAGCCTTGAACCCCACGGGCCGAAGTGCACTGAGCGCGCCGCCCCCGCGGCAAACGCGAGCGGGAGGGGAGGTGCGAGGGGGGGGGGGGGGGGGGGGGGGGGGGGGGGGGGGGGGGCGGAGGACGACGGGGAGGAAGGGGAGGAGGAGGATGAGGAGGAGGAGGAGGAGGAGGAAGAGGATGGGAGGGAGCACGATGAGGAAGGCGAGGAGTGTAGGCAACGAAAAAGCTGGCGCGGCCACTTACTTGCCTTGCACGGCATTCCAGCAACGAGCAGCTGCCGCAAAGGCCCGCTTGGCCACCTCGACGTCGCCAGTGCGGTGCAGCGCGACTGGTGAACGACCCGAAGCTCTTGTAGTTCTTCACGTCGGCCTTCCTGGTGAACTCGACGAAGTTGCCACCGACGAAAAGCTCGGCCTTCTTCTCACACGGGTACTTGCCCAGCTTCGACCCCTCAGCCTCGGCGGCAGCGGGGCGCTTCCCGAGCACCGAGCCCTTCGCCGTTGCTGCGACAGCCTTTGCCTTGGCCGCTGTGGCCTTCTTCGCGGCCGTCTTCTCCTTGCGGAGCTCCGCGGCCAGCTTCTTCTTCTCGCCCTTATCAGCCAAAGCTTCTCGAAGCCCTCCTTCTCCGCCGCCTCGCTGGCGTCGGCGACGGGCGCCGTCGGGGCCGCGCCGCCGCCGCCTGCGACGGCCAGAGCCGCTGGTGGCTCGGGCGACGGGCCGCCTGGCACGTACGAGCCTGCGCCCGACTCGCACGAGCTCTGCTCGGGAGCCGCAGACGGCGGCGCCCCGTTGCCGCGATGCTGCGACGGCCGTGAGTGCTGCGACATGTGGTAATCACCGATCGCCAGCTGCGCGGCCATGGTCCTGCGCGGGTGGCCCCAGCCCATGGGCGCAGACTGCTGACCGACTGGTGCCTTCAGAACCGTGATCCCCGAACCGTCTGGCATCACGATCTGGTGCCCGTCCTCGCCACCAGCATCGGTAGGGGCAGATGGGAGATCGAGCAACTGGCGGTGGTGCCTCGGAATGTTAGAAGCCTGGCGGCGATCGGGCGCGGCACCAGCCTGGCGGCGATCAGACCCTGGGGCACTCCGAACCCTGACGCGATGCTCGCGGATCGCCACCAGCTCAGGGATGACCCGCGTAATCGGCGCCTCGTCACCGTACGCGTGGTCGTACACGTGCTTCGGCAAGCCCGTGGGGTCGTCGGGGTAAGAGGCCACGCCTGGGTTGTACAGCGCGTGCTCTGGCTTGATCGGGAACATCGCCTTGAAGTCGCGCCCCATGTCGCAACTGTCGTCGAGGCTCGGCCACGGCTCGCCCTTCTGGTGCTTGAGCCACATGAGCAGGGCCACGCTGCTCTTGACGGTCTGCTCGTGTGGGGAGTATACTCCGAGAGACTGCAATCGATCGCTGATCGTCGACTGCCATGTCTGGAAGCCGTGCTCGGGGGTCGGATTCTCCCAGTCCGCGCACGTGAGAAAGTGCGTGAGCCGGACCAGCTGCTGACATTTGACCGACGTTGCAGTGCTGCGTGCGATTCGCTGACGATCTGGAGTGCTCACCCAGTGCCGATACTGCCGCGTCCATCAGAGCGGCCGACTCGTCGTGCGCCAGGGACGGCAAGTTATGGATCTTGGCGGCAACCGACGTGGCCGTCGGCAGGATCAACTTGTGCGTCGCGTCGGGGCGCTTGTCGTAGAAGCCCTTCAGGTCCGTGAGCTGCTTCGCCAACGACGCCACCATGGCCGCTGCGCGCGGCGCCACCGCGAAAGCAATCGGATCCGCACCGCGCTAGCAGTCGAGAAACTTGGGCCCAAATGGCATGGCGGAGGGGGGGGGGGGGCGGGCGAGGCGAGGATGCGGGGAGGCGGTGAGGGGGGATAAGGGGGGCGGGCGGGGGCATGATCGGCAGAAGGGTCATCGGCGGGGGGGGGGTGCAGACACGGCCGAACAGACAGCGCGGACGCGATGGTCGCACAAATTATAGCTCCGTTTGAACAATCACAGGTTACGAATCACGCCGTGCGCCCCCGCATTTGAATAGTCAGATCTTACTATTCAAGTGGTGCCCCCCCGCACTTGAATAGTCAAATCTTCCTATTCAAGTGCCCCCCACCCACACTTGAATAGCCAGATCGTACTATTCAAGTGGTGAGCCCCTTCGCCGATCGAGTGGGTGGCAGTCGCGTGCCCCAGGAGGGCGCCGCAAGATGCAGGCCCTACAACACGCACCCTGGGATGCCCATCGGCGGCCCCGATGAGACCCCGTGCGAGCCCCGAGCAACACCGCTCATGCCGCACGCTGAAACGGCCAATGTGAGTTGGGGCTACCTGGGATGCCCCACTGGGGCATCGCTGGGACCTCCTTGAGAGCCCCAGATCTCATCGCACAGTTGCCCGAAAGCCAAGCAGGGGGGGGGGGGGGTGCGCGCCGAAACGCGTGGGCCCATGGCGCCCCAATTGCAACCGAACCAACCCTTAAGTCGAGCCCCATACGCTGCCCCGGTGCGGCCTCAATATGACCATGCGAGAGCCCCGATAGGTCCCACGGTGGCCCCACAACCGCCTGCACGTGCCGAGGGGGGGGGGGGGGATGCGAGAGGGGGAGGCGAGAGGGGGCGGAGGGGGAGATGGGTAGGAATATGCCGTTCGCTCAAATGTAACACATGCGCAATGCACGCTAATGTCTCTGACAGCGCTCGGCGCCGTAGCGCGCAGCGCGCGATCGTGCTCCAACTGCCCCGCCGCTGCCTACGGATGCCCGCGCCCCACGCAAGCATCATCAATTCTGGCGAAGCCCCGTGTCGGCGCCGCCCACCCGCCTCACATAACCGCCGCGGCAATACAGACCGTCGCTGGCGACCCACCGTCAGGCGCAACCTCTGGCTTCGGCGGCGTGACCTCCGTGTTCGCCGCATCGCCCTCAATCTCATCCACACTCAACGCACCACCATCCTTGCTCGGCGTGTCGGCATCATGGGTACCACAGCTCAGCGAGTCGCCACCCTGCGCCATTGTACCGACCGTGCTGGCCGATCGGCCCGACTTCTTGACGTACCGCCCGCGGTGCAGCCCCATGCGGTCGTACAAAGTGCAGCCGCGGATGTCGTCGATTGTCTTGGTGCCCGTGTGCAGGTAGCCGAAGAACGCGTTGATGTTCCCATCGCCGAGCGGGACGATGAGGCTATCGCGGGACTTCAGAGGCCCCACACACTTGATCTGGAATCCACCCGTTTGGACCACCACGAGGTTTGACGGGTGCTCCTCGGCGGGGTTGTCGGCAGCTTGCTTGCGCTTGCGCCTTGGAAAGTGTGCGGGCGGTTGCTCTGTCACGTCGCCGCCGCCGAACAACCGCTGGATGCCCTCTTGCGAGACCGTGGCCTTGCCGCGCAAGAAACTCACCTGTGCGATGTTCCGCGCCTTCACTAGCTCATTGAACAACGGGTGGCCAGCGATGCTGACCTTCGTGCCCATCGCTGACGCAGCCTCTGCCACCTCTGTCTGCTTCAGCCCCGTGAGCAATGAAATGATCGGTGCCCTGTACGGGGCAACAACCATGCATGGCTTGCCGCAGACGTTCATGAGGCCCTCTCCACTCACGGACATAGACCTGTCATTGAATTTCAGGGTAGCGGACAACACCACGATCGCAGGCGGCATCTGCGCGCGCCGTCGAAGGCACGGGTGAAAATGCGTGCAATAACACCTCAAGCCACACATGGCATTGGCAACGCATGATTAGCTGGCACCGCTAGCCCCTCAAATGCAAACCGCTCCGTTGGTGACGTCAGGGCTGCCGCATCGCAATGCGCCGCAATGCTATGCAAAGACGCGGGCGACTGAACGACGCCGCGCGTGCCCATGCTGACCCACCAATGCAAACGCAATACAAACGCAATGCACTCGCAGCGTGCGCCGCACCGTTGAACAATGCATTTGGGACGCGCGGGGCGCCCTGCAACTCAGCGCGCCAGGTCGCGTTCTACTCGGGGGGGGGGGGGCCAAAGGAATCCCCAAAGGAATCCCCGAATGACGCCCCAAAGGAATCCCCAAAGGAATCCCCAAAAGGAATCCCCAAAGGAACCCCCAAGTTTCAGGGGGTCAGACAGTTAAGTTTTAGGGTGCAGCCCCCGAAACTTGGGGGCAAGCTCCCAAGTTTTGGGGGCTGGTCCCCAAATTTTTTGGGGCGCGGACGAAGATGTAAGAATATATAATCATTGATCTTATATGATTACAACTGCTTACAGCTTAGATGCTAACTTTCATGCAATCTACTTATCTTAGATATAACTTCCACCCAAAACAAAGCACAACTTTGTTATCACCGTTTTAGAAGATAGCCTCGCCTGCTAAGAGTGTAGTTTCTACTCTACGCACTCTCTAACAGGTTTGCAAGTTGCAAGATGATGCGAGATGATGTGAGGTGATGCCAGAAGCTGAGAGGTATGATGCGAGATGATACATCGCCCGCGATCATCTCGCAAGATCAGCCAGGGGGGGCGCCCATCCAGGTGGTTTGGACGGCACGTGGTGCCGCCGCCGAGAGATCCCGACCTCAGTCGCAGGCGCCGGACTGCAGCGTGACGTCCGCGGCGACGACGGGCGGCGCCTGGGGGTCGCCGGCTCGGAGCAGGAGCGCGCTCGGCTCGACGAGCGGGCGGCCCGCGACGGCGAGCCGATCGCCTGCGCCTGCCCTGGAGTTCACGGCGACCAGCTGACCCCCGAGATGTTCTTCGCCGTTCGGCATGTGGAGGTGGCCGCCCGCCTGGAGTACATAGCCGAGGCCCGCGGGCTGCCGACGCCGGCAAGGGGGCCCAGCGACGCGGTGGCGGAGGAGGAGCTCGGCGGAGATCGCTCCGACGATGACGGGGTTTTCGGCCTGGACGAGGCTCTGCGAGGTGAAGATTCCTCCGCGGAGGAGCGCCAGGACGTGGCAGACGCGCGAGAGGACAGGGAGGGCATGAGACCTCGCTGGAGGCTGGCAGAGGAAGTTCGACGACGTCTTGCACCGGACGGCGGCGGCCCAGGCGGCTAAGAGCAGTCGCGCGGGTGCGCGCAAGAAAGCCTTGATGGGAACGTTCTTGCAGTTGCAACGCCGCGCTTACGCCTGCGTTCGGCAGCCCTGCGCCGTGCAAGAGCGCGCCCATCGGCTGGCGGCGATGACTCCTGCTGACGCGCAGACCGCCAGAAAGAACCAGGACGCGACCCGTGAACACAGGGCCGCCCAGGACGACAATCTGGAGGCCGCGGGCGCCGATCTGCCCGTCGCTGCGGCGGCCCTCTCCGACGCGCCCGCGTCGTCGAGGCGCCTCGGCCACGAGGACATGCCGATCTCCCCGCTGCAGGCGGCGCTGACCCTCATCTCCGAGTCCGGGGTCTGGAAGAGGAAGGAGCAGTACCTGATGACGCTCTTCCTCCTTCAACCGATACAACAACTGCGGCAGAATGCCCTCGAGACGGACGGCTTGGACAGCTTGTCCACGGCCGCGAGCCTCGCAGCGGCCTCGAGAGGCGCGCAGGTCCGCCGCGTCTTCCTGCACGGCCCAGGGGGCTCTGGGAGGACGTATTGCATGACCGAGGTGGTCAACAAGGTGGTCGTGCGTTTCTTCAGGCACAGGGGGCTGAAGCTGAAGCTCGTGGCCGCGGCCAACGGCGCCGCCCGCATCCTCGGCGGCAAGACCATGCGCGCGGCGGCGAAGCTGACGCGGAAGCAGTCTCTCGCGGCGAGAAAAAATTGAAACCCAACACCAGGGCGAAGAAGAAGTTGGAGTCCGAGTGGGAGTGCCTCGTGCTCCTCCTCGCCGACGAGATCGGCCCGGCGTCCCCCCGCTCCTTGCGGGCCTGAGTCGCCGCGCGACTTTCAGCCGCAAGGACTTGCTGCGGCTGTGCGCGAAGAGGGCCATCGAAGAGCCCTGCGGCCAGGTCCCCGCGCAGGCCATCATGGGCGACTTCGTGCAGGTCAACCCGGTCTGCAGCCACGCGCTGCTGGAAGCCCTGCTGGCCCGTGCGCGCGCCCCCGGCGCGCCGCGGAAGATCACGGACGAGGGCGAAGACGGCTGGAAGGTCTTCAGTAAGATGGCCTCCGACGTGGTCGTCTTCACTGGCACGCGCCGCTTTCTCGACGAGGACCTGCCGCTGCTCTTCGAGGTCATGCGTACTCCGGACAGGGCGAGAGTGCTTGGCGACTTGCGCGCGAAGATCAGAGACCGCGTCCAGCGGGGCCCCGACGACCCGAGGATGTCAATGGATTGCGAACTGGAGGGCGTTCGGGGCTTCTTCGCCCTCGGCGCTCGCGCGGGGATCCAGCGGGAGCAGTTCGCGCGCCTGCAGCAGCTCCGCGTGCTCGCCTCCGCGAGGGTCTGCCCTGTACTTTTTCAACGGGGAGGACGGCCGACCGGATCTTCGTTGCCGCGGCTTCAGCGCGGCGCATTCGGGGGCGCGCGGGCAGCTCGTCTATTATTTCCAGGCCGTGGGCCGCTTCAAGCACCACCAGGACCGAGACATGCACCTCGAGGCGCTGAAGTTCATGAACCTCTCCAGGAGCAACGGCTTGCCGGGCATGTGCGCGGCCTACTTGGGCATGCGAGGGCGGCTCACGGAGAAGGTCATGGGGCCGGAGCTGGTGCAAGAGGCCACGGGCGAGGTCGTGGGCATCCGTTGTTACTTGTGGGAGGGATTCGGCTTCGGGGGGAATCTCGGCGGCGGTTCTGAACGGCCCTCGCCGAATCACCCTTGGTCTTCCCGTGCACCTCGAGATTCGCTGGGGCGGATGCACGGCGGGCCCATTGACGACCTCTGCAAACGACCGCGCCGAACTTCAGGGGGGCCGCGACTGCGGGGGGCGAGGGAACGGGGCTGGGCCCCTCCGCGGGACCGAGGCCCCTCTTCGGAAGCCAGAACTGAATCGGATCTTGAGCTCGAGCTGCTCGCGTGTTCAGGCAGCGCGAGCCTACGATCCAGATCAGTTCGCGTCGGCAGTGCGACGCGACGCGGGCGTTTGCAGATCTCGATCAGGTGGACTACGCTGGCCTGGGCAAGCGGGGCGCGTTCCATCTGGAGCCCGTGCAGGACGAGTGGGATTTGCCCGTCGCGCGCGTGCAGACGGTGAATCACCCGGGCGCGCCTCGGGCCACGCAGTTCGTCGCCAAGAGGAAGAGGCAGAAGGGGCTGCAGGTCGCGCGCGCGCAGCTCAGTTGGGCGCCCGAGAACCAGCTCACTTTCCAGGGCATCCAGGGCCGCACTATCCGCGGGCCCGAGGGCCAGCCTGGAGGTTTCGTCGTCGACCTCTTTCGGCCTGGCACGATGCAGGGCGAGGATCGCCAGGGGGGGTGCTTCCACCACGTCTGGGTGATCCTTGGAAGAGCCAGGAAGCTGGAGTGGGTGCTGCTGCAGAACTTCCCGCTCGACGAGAGCGCCGGCGACCTGGACTGGTCGATCCTCGAGCAAGAGCCGCCGGACTACCTCATCGAGTTCTTGGGCGCGGCGGCGACGCTCAGCAAGAGGACTTGGCGCAGGATGCTGCGCGCGCAGAAGGAGCTGGGGGCGCCATCCTGGGAGGACGTCCCGGAGTGCCCGCTGGGCCCCGACCGCCAGGGCAGATTCTTGCATATCGCTGAGGACTGGATCAGGGCGGGCGCCGCCTGTGCCCGGCCCGTCGCAAGCGCCTCGGCCGAGGCGAGGCCAGACGCGGCCCCGCGGAGGAGACTCCGGGGCAAGAGGCCGCGCGAGGACCTGCGCTCGAAGACGGACCAGCCGACCGCGCCGCCCGACGAGCCCGGGGGCGCTCCGCCGCGGCGGAAGCGGTCGCGCGGCGAGGGCGCCGGGGACGAGGGCGAGCGGGCCTGCGCGCTTCCTGGCGCGGCGCCGGCCTTCTCGACGCATTCGACCCTGCCGTCGGCGCCCGCGGCCAGCGCCGGCGGCTGGCACTGTTCCTTGCTCGGCCACGCGATCGGCCGACGAAGGCGCGCGCCCGCGTGGTTCAACAATCCGCTCAGGGGCGAGGTCGACCCCGCGTCCGGCACCCAGCTGGGCCTCGCGTGCGGTTTCTTCGCGATGAACCATTGCCTGGGCCACGCGGGCGCGCCGCAGCTGTCGGCTGAGGAGTTCCGGCAGGGCGCGAGAGGCGGACCCTGCCCCGAGGGGGATTTCGACGACGGGGGGCTGCGTCAGAACCTCGCATAGCGCGGGTGCCATTTCGATGCGTTGCAGGGCGCGGCCCACCAGGAGGCTATCCCCGCCGCGGGGGACTCCGACAGCTGTCTGGCTGTCTCCAACGGCATCCTGCGCCAGCCATGCCCTCGACATTGGATCGTGCTCGTTCGACCTCCAGAGGCCGTGCGAGACGGCGACGCCGCCTGGCTTTGCGACTCCTCGCACTCGGCGGTCGTCGCCCTTGAAGCCGGCGAGGTGCAGGACCTCCTCGGCCACGCGGGCTGTGCGCAGATGGGCGCCGCGGACAGGGCCGGGAGCGAGGTCGACCGGATGAGGGAGATCGCCGACTGGCGTGCCTACAGAGTCCACCGCTGATCGCGGCATTGCACCCTCAGGGTCAGCCGGTTCGCTCGTTCCTCCTCGTTCTCTCCGCTGGGCATTGCACCCTCAGGGTCAGCCCTTGTTTTCCTTCTACCGCGCCAGGCGTTGCACTTTCAGGGTCGGACCTGAGCTGCGCGGCATTGCACCCCCAGGGTCAGCTTTCGTTTCTCCCCGCTCTGCCTGGCGGGAGCCGGAGTGCATTGGGAGCCGGATGCGCCCCGGGCCGCGCTTCTCGCTCTCATCCTGCTCGGCATTGCACCCCCAGGGTCAGCCAACTTCCCCGTGCGCATCTCCTCCTCCCCGCGCGGCGCAGGCTTGGGCACTGTGCCCTCAGGGTCAGCCCTCGCCCCCGCGTCTTTTGCCCGGCTCTGCCGCTCCTGCTTTCGCCGCGCAGATCTGGGCAGCTGGCTCGACACCGCGGCGGGAAATATTGGCAGCCGGATGCGCCGTCAGTTTTGCCCGCGATGATTCGCGGCCATCTTTCGTTTCTGCCCGGCGTCGCACCCGCGGGGGCAGCCAGGCGATGCACGATTAGTTCAAAAATGCGTTGGAATTTTCCTTTTTCGCGGGAGCTGATTCAGATCTGTAGCTGGAGTTGTTTCAGTGACGCGAACGTTTCGATTGTCGCGCCCAATCGAACGCCCGCGCGGCGGCGAGGTCCCAGGCGGGGATAAGGAGGTAAGCCCTGCCTTGAAAATCGCCGCCGTTCTCGCCGCCGTCGTCGTCCTCGCCCGCGCTGTTGTTGCGCCGTCGTGTTCGTCGTCGTCGTCCGTCGTGCGTCCTTCGGGCCGCCTTGGTTGAGTGGTTCCCTGTCGTCGCCCCCTGTGTGTTTGATGAGTGGCGTCCGCGTCGTTGCGTGCGTTGACCTGCTCCACGTGGTTGTCTTGGTTGAGAGGTTGCCTGTCGTTGCTCACCGTGCGCGCATTTTCTGGGCGCGCGTGACCTACGACTCGCGCGCTAATCAGCAAGCGCGCCGGGGGCGACGACAGGCAACCACTCAACCAAGGCAGCCTTCGGGAATCGACCACCGCCTACACGGCAAACCCGGGTCGGTCACCCCCCGTGTTTTCTTCCGAGGACGACGAGACGACGACGACGACGACGACGACGACGACGACGACGACGACGACGACGACGACGACGGCGATATGACTACGACTACGAGGGGGATCCTCTTAGGGGGCGACGACAGGCAACCACTCAAGCAAAGCAGCCTCGGACTCCCAGTGCGTTTGATGAGTGGCGTCCGTGCCGTTGAGTGCATTACGCGGTTCCTCATAGTTGTCCTGGTTCAGTGGTTGCCTCTCGTTGCATGCGGTGCCAATCGTGCGTCGCTGGGACCGTTTTGGTTGAGTGGTTGCTTGTCGTCGCCTCCTGTATGTCTGATGAGTGGCGTCCACGCCGTTGCGTGCGTTGACCTGCTCTTCGTGGTTGTCTTGGTTGAGTGGTTGCCTGTCGTTGCTCGCCGTGCGTGTATTTCCCGGAAAGGGCGGGGGCCCAGGGTTCTCTTTTAGTAGGTAAACCTGTCCCCCGGTGCCAACTTGAGGGAGGCCGGCGAATTTTTTCCCTGATAAATAACGAGGTCGAAGGAGGCCGGCGAATTAAAATTTGAGGATGTCTCGAGCGAAACGCTTGTTTTTGAAATCCCGATCGATAAATCACAGGGTGCGGGCCACTTTTTCGTGTGTTGAGGATGTCTCGAGCGAAACGCTTGCTCCGCAGAGTTTGCCGAGGATGTCTCGAGCGAAACGCTTGTTTTGCAGAGCCGACCGCGACGCGGAAAAGCGCCCCGCGCGAAGGAATTTCGATGATGTCTCGACTAATTCCTTTGTTTTTGTACGATTTCCTGGAATTTTGGCAGGATGTCTCGAGCGAAATGCACGACCCCACCCTAGCACGACCATACCCCAGCACGACCACACCCCAGCACGACCAGACCCCAGCACGACCCCACCCCAGCACGACCCCACCCCAGCACGACCATACCCCAGCACGACCACACCCCAGCACGACCCGACCCCAGCACGACCCTACCCCAGCAAGACCACACCCCAGCACGACCACACCCCAGCACGACCTCACCACAGCACGACCACACCCCAGCACGACCACGCCCCAGCACGACCACGCCCCAGCACGACCACGCCCCAGCACGACCACGCCCCAGCACGACCACCCCCCCAGCACAGACCACCCCCCAGCACGACCACCACCCCCAGCACGACCACACCCCAGCACGACCACACCCCAGCACGACCACACCCCAGCACGACCACACCCCCGTGGAATGTTTCGTGGCGTGTCTGGTTGAGTGGTTGCCGTGGAATGTTTCGTGGGGTGTCTCGTGGAATGTTTCAAAGGGTGTCTCGTGGAATGTTTCGTGAGGTGTCTCGTGGAATGTTTCGTGAGGTGTCTCGTGGGATGTTTCGCGGGGTGGCACGACCACGCCCCAGCACGACCACCCCCCCAGCACGACCACCCCCCGCACGACCACCCCCCCAGCACGACCACCCCCCAGCACGACCACACCCCAGCACGACCACTCCCCAGCACGACCACACCCCAGCACGACCACACCCCAGCACGACCACACCCAGTCGCACCCCCGTGGAATGTTTCGTGGCGTGTCTGGTTGAGTGGTTGCCTGTTCGTGGGGTGTCTCGTGGAATGTTTCACGGGGTGTCTCGTGGAATGTTTCGTGAGGTGTCTCGTGGAATGTTTCGTGAGGTGTCTCGTGGGATGTTTCGCGGGGTGTCTCGTGGGATGTTTCGTGAGATGTCGCCCAGTTGGGTATCGTGAAAACGTGACCATGCTGCACATGTCTTTATCCCTTTCCGGGTTCGTGGGTCCATCATGTTTTTTGGACGCGCGTGACCCACGACTCGCGCGCTAATCAGCAAGCGCGCCGGGGGCGACGACAGGCAACCACTCAATCCAGGCAGCCGCGGGAAGCGACCGCCGCCTACAGGGCAAACCCGCGTCGGTCCCCCCGCGTGTCCTCCTGCGAGGACGACGAGACGACGACGCTTGCTCCGCAGAGTTCGCCGAGGACGTCTCGAGCGAAACACTTGTTTTGCAGAACTTGAGGGACCTGGGCGCCCCAGAGATTTGCCTTCTCCAGGGGCACGAACCCGTGTGTTTCTACGTATGTGCCTATAGATTTGCCTTCTGCAGGGGCACGAATCTGTGTGTTTTTACGTCTGTGTCTATAGATGTGCCTTATGGGGCGCGATGCACATATCGCACCGCTTGCCCACGTCACTCGGTCATGAGTTGGCTAGACTGTCTCTCCTGTTGACGCAACGCGGGAAACTGCTGCTTTCGGACTCCGGGACGGGTCCGGGGACTCGTTTTGAGTGGATTTGGGGTACGGCAGATTCGGGTCGATTCGACGCGGCGGCGACATTCGCCCGGGCGTTCGAGGTTGAACGTGGGCCCTGGGCGCCCCAGAGATTTGCCCTCTCCAGGGGCACGAACCCGTGTGTTTTTACGTATGTGCCTATAGATTTGCCTTCTCCAGGTGCACGAATCCGTGTGCTTTTACGTATGTGCGTATAGATTTGCTTTCTCAAGGGGCACGAATCCGTATGTTTTTCCCGGAAAGGGCGGGGGCCCAGGGTTCTTTTCTAGCGTGGTAAACTTGTCCCCGGTGCTTCAACTGAAGGGCGCCGGCGGATTTCTTCCTTGATAAATATCGAGGTCGAAGGGCGCCGGCGGTTTAAAATTTGAGGATGTCTCGAGCGAAACGCTTGCTTTTCAAAATTTGTTGAGGATGTCCCGAGCGAAGCGCTGGTTTTGCAGAGTTGGGGATGTCTCGAGCGAAACGATTGTTTTCAGAATTTGTGGAGGATGTCTCGAGCGAAACGCTGGTTTTGCAGAGCCGACCGCGACGCGGAAAAGCGCCCCGCGCGCCGGAATTCCGAGGATGTCGCGCGCGTGCCGAGTCCCGCGCGCAGGATTTTCGAGGATGTCTCGACTAATTCGTTTGTTTTTCTAGGATTTCTTTTAATTTTGGCAGGATGTCTGGAGCGAAATGCACGACCCCACCCTAGCACGACCACGCCCCAGCACGACCACACCCCAGCACGACCACACCCCAGCACGACCCCACCCCAGCACGACCCACCCCAGCACGACCACAGCCCAGCACGACCACACCCCAGCACGACCCCACCCCAGCACGACCCCACCCCAGCAAGACCACACCCCAGCACGACCACACCCCAGCACGACCTCACCACAGCACGACCACACCCCAGCAGGACCACGCCCCAGCACGACCACGCCCCAGCACGACCACCCCCCAGCAAGACCACCCCCCCAGCACGACCACCCCCGAGCACGACCACACCCCAGCACGACCACACCCCAGCACGACCACACCCCAGCACGACCACACCCCAGCACGACCACACCCCAGCACGACCACACCCAGTCGCACCCCCGTGGAATGTTTCGTAGGGTGTCTGGTTGAGTGGTTGCCTGTTCGTGGGGTGTCTCGTGGAATGTTTCACGGGGTGTCTCGTGGAATGTTTCGTGAGGTGTCTCGTGGAATGTTTCGTGAGGTGTCTCGTGGGATGTTTCGCGAGGTGTCTCGTGGGATGTTTCGTGAGGTGTCGCCCAGTTGGGTACCGTGAAAACGTGACCATGCTGCACATGTCTATATCCCTTTCCGGGTTGGTGGGTCCATCATGTTTTTGAAATCCCGATCGATAAATCACAGGGTGCGGGCCACTCTTTCGTGTGTTGAGGATGTCTCGAGCGAAACGCTTGCTCCGCAGAGTTACCGAGGATGTCTCGAGCGAAACGCTTGCTCCGCAGAGTTACCGAGGATGTCTCGAGCGAAACGCTTGCTCTCCAGCACGACCACACCCCAGCACGACCCCACCCCAGCACGACCCCACCCCAGCACGACCAAACCCCAGCACGACCACACCCCAGCATTACCCCACCCCAGCACGACCCCACCCCAGTAAGACCATCACCCAGCACGACCACACCCCAGCACGACCTCACCACAGCACGACCACACCCCAGCACGACCACGCCCCAGCACGACCACGCCCCAGCACGACCACGCCCCAGCACGACCACCCAGCACGACTACCCCCCTAGCACGACCACCCCCCAGCACGACCACCCCCCAGCACGACCACACCCCAGCACGACCACTCCCCAGCACGGCCACACCGCCTTGGTTGAGTGGTTGCCTGTCGTCGTGGAATGTTTCGTGGGGTGTCTCGTGGACTGTTTCGCGGGGTGTCTCGTGGAATGTTTCCAGGAAAACGTTGAAAACGGTCGCCCGTGTCTCGTGGAATGTTTCGCGGGGTGTCTCGTGGAAGTGCCCGTCGCCCAATACGGTGTCGTGCCGGGTTCGTGGGTCCATCATGTTGAAATCCCGATCGATAAATCACAGGGTGCGAGCCATTCTTTCGTGTGTTGAGGATGTCTCGAGCGAAACGTTTGCTCCGCAGAGTTACCGAGGATGTCTCGAGCGAATCGCTTCCATGCATGCGGTTCTATATGCGTTTCCATGCATGCGGTTCTATATGCGTTTCCACGACCACACCCCAGCACGACCACACCCCAGCACGACCACACCCCAGCACGACCCCACCCCAGCCAGCACGACCCCACCCCAGCACGACCAAACCCCAGCACGCCCACACCCCAGCATTAACCCACCCCAGCACGACCCCACCCCAGCAAGACCATCACCCAGCACAACCACACCCCAGCACGACCAAACCCCAGCACGACCACACCCCAGCATTAACCCCCCAGCACGACCACGCCCCAGCACGACCACGCCCCAGCACGACCACCCCCCAGCACGACTACCCCCCTAGCACGACCACCCCCCAGCACGACCACCCCCCAGCACGACCACACCCCAGCACGACCACTCCCCAGCACGACCACACCGCCTTGGTTGAGTGGTTGCCTGTCGTCGTGGAATGTTTCGTGGGGTGCATCGTGGACTGTTTCGCGGGGTGTCTCGTGGAATGTTTCCAGGAAAACGTTGAAAAAGGTCGCCCGTGTCTCGTGGAATGTTTCGCGGGATGTCTCGTGGAAGTGCCCGTCGCCCAATACGGTGTCGTGAAAACGTTTCCATGCATGCGGTTCTATATCCCTTTCGGGGTTCGTGGGTCCATCATGTTTTTCTTGGAAAGGGCGGGGGCCCAGAGTTCTCTTTTAGTTGGTTTATTCCCCGCCGGAAGAGGGCCGGCAGATTTCCGCTTTATAGAAAAACGATGTAAATTCCAATTCGGCGTGACACAAATGCGTTTTGCGCGTGCCCGCTCGAGGAAAGTCTACCCCCGACCTCGGATCCTTGATAAATAACGGGGTCCGCGGACCCCCGTTTTCCTTCGTCAAACAAAAGGCGCGGGGTATTTTTAGCAGAATCATGCAAAAAACGAGGTCTGGAGCCCCGACCGCGACGCGGAAAAGCGCCCCGCGCGCAGGAATTCCGAGGATGTCTCGCGCGTGCTGCGTCCCGCGCGCGTGAATTTCGAGGACGTCTCGACTAATTCGCTTGTTTTCCAGGATTTTGTGTGAAAATGTTGAGTTTTTGCGTGCCCGCTCGAGGATGGCGCGCCCCCCGCGCCAAACAATCGAGGATGTCTCCAGCGAAACGCTTGTTTTGCAAAACTTGAAGGACCTGGGCGTCCCAGCATGCCCCAGGAGGCCCTGGAAGCGCGGACGCGGCGTAATCTGCGTGGGATCGGGGCGTTGGGAGCGCGGACGCAGCGTAATTTGCGAGGGATCGTGGCCCTCGGAGCGCGGGCGCAGCGCACGTACTTTACGAGGGGTCGGGGCCTTGGGAGCTCGGACGCAATGTAATTTACGATGCATCGTAGCCCTTAAAACGCGGGCGCAGCGTAGAATACGAGGGATCGGGGCCCTGGGGGCTCGGACGCAGAGTGATTTACGAGGGATCGTGGCCCTGGGAGCGCGGACGCAGCGTAATTTACAAGGGGTCGGGGCCCTGGGAGCGCGACCCCAATGTAATTTACATGGGATCGTGGTCCTGGGAGCGCGGACGCAGCGTAATTTACGAGGGATCGTGGCCCTGGGAGCGCGTCCCGTGGCACGTCCATTGGCACGTTCCGTAGCGCGTCCCCTTGGCGCGTCCCGCAGTGCGTTCCCTTGGCACGTCCCCTGGGACGTCGCCTGGCGCGTCCCTTGGGATGTTCCGCGGCGCGTCCTCCTAGCATGTCCCCCTGTCAATTAGCTTTGGGGCAGCTACTATGTGCTCAGGCAGCTCGAGCTTAGGATCCAGATCAGTTCGGTCAGGACTCGGACGCAAAGGAGGACTCGATTCACAACACTGTAGAGCACAATCGCGGCATGGCACATCGCAGTTCAGCACGGCGCAGCACAGCACAGCCCTCGGCACAGTACATCAAGATCGATACACTCAGCACTGCAACCTGTCACGTTTCCTGGCACGTTCCAGGGCGAGTCCCCCTGGCACGTCGCGCGGCGCGTCCCTTGGCACGTCCCGTCGCACGTCCATTGACACGTTCCGTAGCGCGTCCCCTTGGCACGTCCCGCGGTGCGTCCCCGCGGCGCGTCCCTTGGCACGTCCCGTCGCACGTCCATTGACACGTTCCGTAGCGCGTCCCCTTGGCACGTCCCGCGGTGCGTCCCCGTGGCACGTCCCTTGGCACGTCGCCTGGCGCGTCCCTTGGGGATGTTCCGCGGCGCGTCCTCCTAGCATGTCTCCTTGCCAATCAGCTCTAGGGCAGCTACTATTTGCTCAGGCAGCTCGAGCTTACGACCCAGATCAGATCGGTCAGGACTCGGATGCAAAGCAGAACTCGATCCACAACGCTATAGAGCACAATCGCGGCATGGCACATCTCCGCAGCCATTTTGATTCGAGCAATTCTGGTTCCGCCTCTCGCCGAGTGCCCCTACCGTCCGAGCCGCCATGGCTGTGCTCGCGGCATCGCTCCTGTGGCTGCTCTGCCTTGCCTGGGCCGCGACCGGGATCAGCGAGGACTGGATGACAGAAATCCTGGAAGCGCACAACACCTTCCGCTGCATGCACGACGTGCCGCTGTTCGAGTGGGACGACGCTGCTGCTGCCAGCGCGCAGGCGCACGTGGACGCTGGCGTATTGGAGCTCAGCGGCGGATTGGTGGGCGACGAATATTGCACCGAGCTCCACGCGTGGTCGTCTGATGAGACTGCGGCGGAGGCGGCGGGGAGATGGTATGCAGAGATTGAGAATTCCCCCGGTGGCACGGGGGCGGTTCCGGAGTACTCCAGCAGCTGCAGAGGCTACACCACGCTCGTCTGGAAGTCTTCAACCAAGCTCGGCTGCGGCCGTGGAACCCGGAACGACAGAGGCGGCGACTACACGGCTTGCTACTACTGCCCGGAAGCTAATGTGGGTAGCTTCGCGGACAACGTCTTCCCTGCAAGCAGGACGGCCGCGCAGTGCGCGGACCCGAACAACCCGACCGATCCGATCCCGACCCCGACCGCAGCGCCGACCCCGTGCCTGAGCCCGAGCGAGGTCGGGTTGAGTGCGGACTGGATGACAGAAATCCTGGAAGCGCACAACACCTTCCGCTGCATGCACGACGTGCCTTTTTTCGAGTGGGACGACGCTGCTGCTGCCACCGCGCAGGCGCACGTGGACGCTGGCGAATATGATCTCACCAGCGGATATGTCGGCGACGAATATTGCACCGAGCTCCACGCGTGGTCGTCTGATGAGACTGCGGCGGAGGCGGCGGGGAGATGGTATGCAGAGATTGAGAATTCCCCCGGTGGCACGGGGGTGGTTCCGGAGTACACCGGCCAATGCAGAGGCTACACCACGCTCGTCTGGAAGTCTTCCGTCCGGCTCGGCTGCGGCCGTGGACCCCGGAACGACAAGGGCGGCGACTGGACGCTTTGCTACTACTGCCCGGAAACTAATGTGGGTAGCTTCGCGGACAACGTCTTCGCTGCAAGCAAGACGGCCGAGCAGTGCGCCTTTTGTGCCAGCGGCGGCCCGGGCCCGAGCCCGAGCCCGAGCCCGAGCCCGAGCCTGAGCCCGAGCCCGAGCCCGAGCCTGGGCGGCAGCGGCCTCGACAGCGAGAACCTCGACGCAGACTCCGCCGTCCAGGCTTCCCTGGCCGCCCTCGCCGTCCTGCTGCTGATTGGTGTCGCCGCGATCGCCGTCTGAGATACGTTGTCAATACTTGCGTATGCAACGGCTGGCGACAACTTCTACACCTCTGCTACCGCCTACAATTCCACGCCTGCGCCCGGTCCATTCGCTTTCCCCTGTTGCTTTCGGCTGGGTGCACTTCCGAGTGCAGTGCAAGGTTGCTTGTCGACGCAGCGCCGCCGTGGCCTGCACACTGATGCCGTGGTAGCTGGGCCGTATAAATGAAACTGGTGGAGCCAGACGGGTTCAGGACTGCCTCACAGAGGCATCCCAGGGACTGCCTCACAGAGGCATCCCAGGCGTTGGTTTCTCCTCTACAATTACACAATATGAAAATACTCTCCCACTTCCCCTGATGGCGTCCGGAAGATATTCGGCACCCCCCCGCGTACTGTTTTTTTACACACAGGATTCCCCGGAGTTGGGTTTTCGCTTGTGTTTTTTTCTAAAATGCTGCTCTCGCTGAGGCGCCGGCCTCATTTCTGCTCCCGAATCGTTCCGAATCGTGCTCCCGCTGCAGCGTGGGCCTCATTTTCGGATCGGTGTTTGGCCTCCGTCGTTCAGGATGGCGTTCTCGCCCCAGCGCGGGCCTCTTTCTCGCGCGCCCATCCGCCCGCCACCACCGCGCCGCACCACCACCACCACCACCACCACCACACCACCACCACCACCACCAGCCACCACCACCACCACCACCTACCACCACCAGCAACCAGCACCACCACCACCACCACCAGCACCAGCACACAACCACACCACCACCACCACCACCACCACCACCACCACCACAGATCACGCACACACGCACGCACGCACGCACGCGCCCACCCCCCATAGTTACGCACGCGCGCCGCGGAGCCATAGGGTCTCGCTACGACACGCGTCCGGCGGATAGAGAAAATCTCGCCATGGTAAGGGATGGGAGGGAGGGTGTTATGACGTCAGATATGACGCGAGCGCACCTAGCTTGTCCTCTTCCCCCTCCCCCTCCTCCTCCTCCTCCTGCTTCTCCTCCTCCTGCTCCTTCTCCTGCTCTGACAAGGGCCAGCCCGCGGCGTGCTCGCCCTGCGGTATTTGGCCACGCTGCGGTGCTCGTCCACCGAGCCTGGCCGTCTTTCAGCAACGCGCGGCGCCCAGGGGGCACGCGCCCTTCTCCAAGGAGGGGGGGATCGAGGATCGGGGGAGGGATCGAGGATCGAGGGATCGAGGGATCGAGGATCGAGGGATCGAGGGATCGAGGATCGAGGATCGAGGATCGAGGATCGAAGACCTCTGGAAACCTTTCTATGCGCATTCACGTTCGAGGATCGAGGATCGAGGATTCTCTGGAGACCTCTGGATCGAGGATCGAGGATCGAAGACCTCTTCCAACGATGCACGTTGGGGCAGACGCAGGACCTGGCTGCGCCCACGGACAGCGACCGCTGTTGCTGGTGGGCATCGCCTATTTTTTGTCGGTCCTCTTTTCAAGCTTGCCAGGCTGAGGCCTGGGGCCACTGGGTGGTGACCCTCATCGAGGGGCCTTCCAGTCCCTTCCGGGGGCGCCGCGAGAGGGGTCCGCTACGGAGCGCCGCAGCGGGGGCTGGGCTTCGGTCTTGCCCCCAGCCCCCTGCGCGGCCTCCCCCCCCTTCGCGGCACGACGGCGAGCGCTCGCGGGCTCCCGCCACGTCAGCGCCCCACCACCCCCTCTCCTCCGACTCGGCCCTCGGTTCCTCCCCTCTGCTTGCCCTCCTCTTCCCGCTGCTGCCGCTGCCGTTCATGAATTCCTCTGCTCTAACTATGCTGCACGTCGAGGGCTGCCCGACATTGGTCGTCAACCTTGACAGAAAAAGCATCGCGGCATGGCACACCGCGATTCAGCACGGCGCAGCGCAGCACAGCTCTCGGCACGGTACATCAAGATCGATACGCTCAGCATTGCATTGGCCCGTCGCCCAATCAGGTGTCTTTGAAACGTTGCCATGTCTTACATTTCTACATTCCTTTCCGGGTTCGTGGGTCGATCATGTTTTTCCCGGAAAGGGCGGGGGCCCAGGGTTCTTTTCTAGCGTGGTAAACTTGTCCCCGGTGCTTCAACTGAAGGGCGCCGGCGGATTTCTTCCTTGATAAATATCGAGGTCGAAGGGCGCCGGCGGTTTAAAATTTGAGGATGTCTCGAGCGAAACGCTTGCTTTTCAAAATTTGTTGAGGATGTCCCGAGCGAAGCGCTGGTTTTGCAGAGTTGGGGATGTCTCGAGCGAAACGATTGTTTTCAGAATTTGTGGAGGATGTCTCGAGCGAAACGCTGGTTTTGCAGAGCCGACCGCGACGCGGAAAAGCGCCCCGCGCGCCGGAATTCCGAGGATGTCGCGCGCGTGCCGAGTCCCGCGCGCAGGATTTTCGAGGATGTCTCGACTAATTCGTTTGTTTTTCTAGGATTTCCTTTAATTTTGGCAGGATGTCTGGAGCGAAATGCACGACCCCACCCTAGCACGACCACGCCCCAGCACGACCACACCCCAGCACGACCACACCCCAGCACGACCCCACCCCAGCACGACCACCCCAGCACGCGACCACAGCCTCCGCACGACCACACCCCAGCACGACCCCACCCCAGCACGACCCCACCCCAACACGACCACACCCCAGCACGACCACACCCCAGCACGACCCCACCCCAGCACGACCCCACCCAGCAAGACCACACCCCAGCACGACCACACCCCAGCACGACCTCACCACAGCACGACCACACCCCAGCACGACCACGCCCCAGCACGACCACGCCCCAGCACCACCACGCCCCAGCAAGACCACCCCAGAACGATCCACACCCCAGCAGACACACCCCAGCACGACACAACCCGTCGCAACCCCCGTGGAATGTTTCGTTAGGGTGTCGGTTGAGGTGGTTGCCTGTTCGTGGGGTGTCTCGTGAATGTTCACGGGGTGTCTCGTGGAATGTTTCGTGGGTTGTCGCGTGGAATGTTTCGTGAGGGTCTCGTGGATGTTTCGCGAGGTGCTCGTGGGATGTTTCGTGAGGTGTCGCCCAGTGGTATCGTGAAAAACGTGACCATGCTGCACATGTCTATATCCCTTTCCGGGTTGGTGGGTCCATCATGTTTTTGAAATCCCGATCGATAAATCACAGGGTGCGGGCCACTCTTTCGTGTGTTGAGGATGTCTCGAGCGAAACGCTTGCTCCGCAGAGTTACCGAGGATGTCTCGAGCGAAACGTTTGCTCCGCAGAGTTACCGAGGATGTCTCGAGCGAATCGCTTGCTCTCCAGCACGACCACACCCCAGCACGACCCCACCCCAGCACGACCCCACCCCAGCACGACCAAACCCCAGCACGACCACACCCCAGCATTACCCCACCCCAGCACGACCCCACCCCAGTAAGACCATCACCCAGCACGACCACACCCCAGCACGACCTCACCACAGCACGACCACACCCCAGCACGACCACGCCCCAGCACGACCACGCCCCAGCACGACCACGCCCCAGCACGACCACCCAGCACGACTACCCCCCTAGCACGACCACCCCCCAGCACGACCACCCCCCAGCACGACCACACCCCAGCACGACCACTCCCCAGCACGGCCACACCGCCTTGGTTGAGTGGTTGCCTGTCGTCGTGGACTGTTTCG